TGCGTCGTCGTCGTCGTCACTGTCCTCCCTCCTCCCGCGTCGTCGTCGTCGTCGTCGTCGCCTACGTCGTCCTCTGTCTTTCCTCGTGTTCGTCGTCGTCGTCCTCTTTGGCGTCGTGGTCGTTTCCGTCGTCGTTGTCGCCGTGGTCGTCCTTCGTCCTCATCCCTCGTCGTCGTCGTTCGTCGTCGGCGTCTCGTCGTCGTCCCTCCTATTTCATTGCCGTCGTCGTCGTCGTCGTCGTTGTCGTCGTCGTCGTCTTCCCTTCTCCCTCGTCGTTGTCGTCGTCGGCGTCGCCGTCCTTCCTCCTTCTTCGTCGTTCGCGTCGTCGCCGTCCTCCCTCCTCCCTCGTCGTTGTCGTCGTTGTCGTCGTTGTCGCCGTCGTCGTCCTCCCTCCTCCCTCATCGTCGTCTTCGTTGACGACGTTGTCGTCGTCTTCGTCGCCGTCGGCGTCGGCGTCGTCTTCTTCGTCGTCGACGTCGGCGTCGTCGTCGTCGCCGCCGTCGTCATAGTCGTCGTCGTCGTCGTCGTCGGCATTCTTGCTTCTCCGGCGTTCTTGGCGCGAAAATGCGCGGTAGCGCGACCGCAGAGATGCGCCAGCCAACGTGTGTCCAAAGAACCTACAAAAACAAAAGTTTTCGCAACACGGATTTTCAACAAAAACGTGCGCGCGCGCTCTTGCGTCGTCGTCGTCGTCGTCGCCGTCCTCCCTCCTCCCGCGTCGTCGTCGTCTTCGTCGCCTACGTCGTCCTCTGTCTTTCCTCGTGTTCGTCGTCGTCGTCCTCTTTGGCGTCGTGGTCGTTTCCGTCGTCGCTGTCGCCGTGGTCGTCCTTCGTCCTCATCCCTCGTCGTCGTCGTCGTCCGTCGTCGGCGTCTCGTCGTCGTCCCTCCTATTTCGTCGACGTCGTCGTCGTCGTCGTCGTCGTTGTCGTCGTCGTCGTCTTCCCTCCTCCCTCGTCGTTGTCGTCGTCGGCGGCGCCGTCCTGCCTCCTTCTTCGTCGTTCACGTCGTCGCCGTCCTCCCTCCTCCCTCGTCGTTGTCGTCGTTGTCGTCGTTGTCGCCGTCGTTGTCCTCCCTCCTCCCTCGTCGTCATCTTCGTTGGCGACGTCGTCGTCGTCTTCGTCGTCGTCGTCGTCGGCGTCGGCGTCGTCGTCGTCTTCGTCGTCGTCGACGTCGGCGTCGTCGTCGTTGTCGCCGTCGTCGTCGTCGTCGTCGGCGGCGTCGTTGACGTCGTCGTCGTCGTCGGTGTCGTCGTTGTCGTCGTCGTCGGCGTCGTTGACGTCGTCGTCGTTGTCATCGTCGTCGTCGTCGTCGGCGTCGGCGTCGTCGTCGTCGTCGGTGTCGTCGTCGTCTTCGTCGTCGTCGTTGTCGGCGTCGTCGAAGTCATTGGAGACGTCGTCGGTGCCGTCGTACTCGTTGTCGGCGGTGTCGTCGTCGTCGTTGTCGCTGTCGTCGTCGGCGTCGCTGTCGTTGCCAAGTGCCATGTGGTGCCCACCGTCACGGTCTTAAGAGATTTTGCAAACCAAGTTGCGGGTGGGTGGGTGGGATGTTTGCGCGAGCAGTGGAGGTGGTCAAGCGCGGTGCAGGGTAGTCAACTGCACAACATAGCCTGCACCACGAATCTTTTTCTTTCTACTGAAGTATTAGGATCTACCCCCACGGACTTCACAGTACCTTTTCCCGTATTGCAGTTTACCTACCATTCTAACCCATCGCCGATCCGAGATATAGAATCATATGATCCCAGCCAAGCTGGTATGGCCTCCTCTTTTCATCCTCTGCACCAGAAGTATGCGCACGGTCGGTTATCCAAAACCGCCAGTTTGCAAGAATCCCTTGCAACAACAAGGGACGATGTGCACACGCGCGCGCCGTCGCGCGCGCCTGCCAGAATCCTTCGAAAACCTTAGGTGCCGTAGGGACTTCAAATCTACGGTCCCGAACACACACACACACACATAGAGAGAGAGAGAGAGAAAAAAAAAAAAAAAACGCAAAAAAACAACAACAACAACAACAACAACAACAACAACAACAACAACAACAACAACAACAACAATCACTTTACCCGAACGCTCAGTGTTCTCACCAGTGCCAGGGTTTTCATGCGACGCCAGCCAATACCCCCACTTTGTGGGGGGGCAGTGCAAGCTCTACCAAATATCCACACGACTCTTCGCCACCACCCACACCCAGCTTCCCGCCCTATGACGTTCGGACACTTCACTTCGTGGCCTGCGGACGACCGTGGCTACTACACTGGCGTGGAGTACACACCCACAGAAGTTGTTAAGCCTACGTTCGTACACCCACAGAAGTTGTTAAGCCTTGTTAACCCACAGAAGTTGTTAAGCCTTCCACAGAACATCTGTTGCATATGATGCATATTGAACATGATACACATGATACACATGGTTTTTGGAGATTTTGGCGTGCGCGCGCGAAGAAAAAACGAATGTGTCCCGCATGGTATTATTTGACAGGGATGATGGCCCTGGCAGGTGCGCAACCGTTGTCGCAGAAGTTCGAAAAAGTTGCTCGCAAAAGCCCGTTTGACAGAAATGTTTAAAAAGTGTTGGGTTTCCTACGAATCCGCAAGAGCGCGCGGGATGAGATTTTGACATTTTTTTGTTGAAAAACCATTGGTTTTTTGATGTTTTTATGTTAAAATCGCTCCGAACACTAAGCTTTTGGAAGGATTTCGTCTTGCGCGCGCGAATGTCCACTTTACCTTATTTTTTGCAAGGGATTCTTGAAATTTGATTATATTAGAACAAGAAATGTCATTTTATAGTGTTTTTTGCAAGGGAAAGCGGGGGGGAACAAAACAACCGGATCTTGATCACATCGAATTACCTGAGGCTTCCTCACGAAAATGATGAAAATGTAGCTGCGGCCTAATTAGGCGGCGCAGGGGGGCCGTGCACCAGGGGTCCCAACAATAATTATTCTTTAGAATTAATAATGTTCAACAACAACAACAACAACAACAACAACAACAACAACAACAACAACAAAATGGTTTCGCTACAGGACCTGCGCCCGCGCTCGTGCAAAGTCTTCATAAAACCATCTAAGCTCCAACATGTTCAATCAATCATACCAAACGGGCCCCTCGCGCGCGCATGTCGAAATCGCTCGAACACCCTTGCGCGCGTGCTGCAGCAAGAGCTCGTTGCAATCGCGCGCGCATGCCGAAATCGTTGGGAAAAAGAGCCTCAGGTCTCGTGAAGATTTCAATACAAAGGGTCCCGAAAACATATAAACACAAATGGTTTTACAACACCACCGGTTTAAAACTGAGTATGTGGTATAAAAATGCGCTCGCGCTCCTGCGAATTTGTGATAAAAAACCATAATATGTTACATGTGCACTACATGCGGCCAGACGGTCCTCTCGCGCCGCGTGTCGGCATCATTCGAACGCCCTCGCGCGAGTGTTAGGAAAGGGGCACGATCCGTATCAAAAAATAACATGCGGCCGATTTTCGCGCGTCGGCCGCGCGCGCATGTCGAACTCCCTCGAAACCTTCATCACTGACGCGGGGACGCCGTCATCGTCGCCGGCGTGATCAGCATCGGCGCCGCCACCGGACGTGCCGTCGCCGTTGTCACCATCGTCACCAGCATCGCTGCCATCATCATCGTGTCTACCAGCGTCAACGTTGCCATGATACCGCGCCCGCCCAAGTCGCCGACTCGCACTGAAGTGGCCGGTGGGAAGTGCCCATCAATCAGCCGCACCGCGGCCGCGTCGGTCGTGCCAAACTAGCTGGCCGCTGCGTGCACGAGCATGCGCGGGCTAGCGCGGCCGCAGCGATGCGCCAGCCAGCGCCGAATAGACATCATAATCGCCACCTCATTGGTTTTGCAAACCAAGTTGCGGGTGGGTGGGTGGGATTATTGTGCGAGCAATAGAATTGACAACTTCAAATTCGGCAGGATGAGCTGCACGACATAGACAGCTCCACATGTGTTGCACAATCGATATTGCTGGAGCACTCTGCTTGGGACCCACACCGGCTAAAATTGGATTCTGCTCAGACCAGTGACCGAGAGCGCTGTATCCGCCACTCGTCTTCTTCAACGTCTTACGGACGTTCCTCTCTTCCATGAGACGAGCGAGACCGAGCGTCACTGTCATCGCCAGCAGAAGCATCGCCGTCTCCTTCACCGCCGTGGAGCGGGGGCCCACGTGCTCCTCGCTTCAAGCATGGCGCTGGCATGCTCTTCCGACGAGTCCAGCACTGCGATCAGCCATGATGAGAAGAATCTGCAGTGGACCAAAACGATCACTCCACCACGACAGAGTATATGGCCGGCGGCCTGCAATGCCGAGAGAATGAACAAAATTGTGACTGGTGGGCGTCAGTCGCCCGTGGTGGTGGCCGGAAGAGCTCGGGGTCCAGTCGAGGACTTGCCGTACCAACTGGACACCCCGCAGGGATGGACACTTGAGGCAAAACGGTTACACAGGAGAAGGAGGAGGAGGGGCAGGAGGAGGAGGGAGTTTGAGCCTACGCGGGACCAGAACTACGACGTCGAGATTTTTGTTCGTAACGTCGACCCCCCGAGGTCTGGACCCCTTTCCCGGGACCGCTTCTTCGCCATGGGCAGTTCTCGGACGGTTCCCAGGCCCAATACAGGGCCCCCTGGGAGGCCGAAAATCAAAGCAACCTCTCCGCCGGTCGTGTGTTTTCCTCGGCGAGACAGAGTTGGGGTTTGGTCAGAGACCTCCTCGATGGGGTCCAAGTAGGTGGTGTCGGAGGATCGCGCTGCATCGGCGATATACCGGCGATTCATCGGTAATGCACTGGCGATGCATCGTCGACGTCGTCGATGCATCGGCGACGTCGACGTGAAGCAAGTCGGGCCCCACATCGAGCCGCATCGGCGATGCGTCGGCGATGCGGCGCGATCCTCCGATCCCGTCTGCTCCGACCCCATGCGAGAGGACTAGTTAGATTGGTCGAGGAGGAAGGGAGAAGAGATGGGAGACCCGCCTCGCGGTGGAGGGGTTCCGCCTCCTCGAGGTGGCCCACCGCGTGGAGCAGCCCTGCCAGGCTGCCCGCGAAGGTCATCACGAGGGGGTGGTCGTCGCCCCTTTCCTGCAGGCGCCCTCCTCCTCCCTCCTCCTCCCTCCTCCTCCCTCCTCCTCCCTCCTCCTCCTCCTCCTCCTCATCCTCCTCTTCCTTTTCCTCCTCCTCCTTCTCCTCTTCCTCCTTTTCCTCTTTTTCCTCCTCCTCCTCCTCCGCCTCCTCCTCCTCCTACGCCCTCAAGCCTCGAGGCCCGAGCCTGGAAAGCTCCGCCCCCCCCTTTCGTCGAACTTCGAGGCTCGAGGCTGCCGGAGGCGGAGACCGACCGGCTCGCCGTGGTCGCACGGAGCGGCTGTGCTATGGGGGCATCGGCCGCCGGCCGAGCAAGTCCAGATCTGGCTATGGCATGGACAGGGACCGCAGATGGAGCCTTCCGCTACCAGATACGGTCAACCCGTATCTGAAGGGGCCCAGGGACACACGAATGAATACACACAAAGCCCAGGATTCTCCATATGTTCCCATACTTTCTGGACTTTCGTCTCCCCCCCCACTTCCCATATTTCCCCATATTTTCCTGGGGGTCGACGATTGATTGTGTCTGTGTGGTTTTTTCACCTCCTGAGTATCACAAGGATGCGCGGTAAGGATGCAAGGGCCTTGAAGGACCACGTGGGAGTTTTTCGAGCGGGGTTGGCCAGCGAGGGTCGCTGAGAATGGGCCGAAGGGGCAAGGATGCAACTGTAACCTTGGGATGGTTGCCCATCCTTACCATGCGGGTTATGTTGCTCCCATCGTACTTGAGAACCACATTCCAGAATTAATTTCGAGCACCCAGGAAAGTGTCGAAAGAGTGTCGAATGAGTGTCGTCTCCCAGGGCCCGACACGTGAAAACCCTCGAGTTCCCGTACTTTTCTGGTGCTCGAAATTCTTTCTGGTGGTCAAGGCTAAAGTAGGTTGGAACATCATAACATGCGGGTTGACTGCACGCCGCTGGGACCAGCGCGTGCAAGAAGTGAGAAACGCAGGCCTTCCGGAAAGCAAACTCGCGCGAGGAGGCGGACGTGTCGGAGAAGGCAGACGACTCGGTGGAGAGAGAGGCCGACTCGTCAGAGAACACGAGAGGGATTGGCAACTCGCCCTCGGACGTGAAAGCGGCCGACAACATTTCGAAGGAGAGCTCGTCGGAGGAGACGTGCCCGGAAAAACACGAGGTTTCGAACGTGAGGGCGGACGCGTCAGCGAGGACGGAGGCGTCGGGGAAGGCCGTGCGGTACGCACGAGAGGAATGTGGCATCAGGTGGCCGGGGGTGCCGAAGCTCTGCCACGTCGCCGGGGAGCAGATCCAATACGGATTTACGTCGGGGGGCGTGTGGACGGAGCCCATCGCCACAGGCGACGCGGAGGCGACCATCGAGTGCGAGAGTTCCGAGAAGCTGACCGTCGATAAGGCGGACTCGTCGGAGATGGCGGATCTGTCGAGGAAGGCAGATCGACCAGTCGGAAAAAGTGGGCGCGCCGGGGGAGGCGGACTCGTCGAAGAGGGCGCACTCGGAAGCAAAGGGCGACTTGTACGTGAAGACAGGCTCGGCGGAAGGCGAGGACCCGACGGGAAAGGAGGATGACTCGCCTGACAAGGCGAACCCACCGGAGAAGGCGGAGCTTTCGAGAGGCGGACGACTCGTCGAAGAAGGAAGACGCGTCGGAGAAGGCGCACCCTGGAAAGCAGGTAGACAACTTCGAGAAGGCGAACTCGTCAGAGGCGGCGGAACTGTCGGAGAAGGCGGACAACCCGTCGGAGAAGGCAGACTCGTCGGAGAAGTCGGACTCGTCGGAGAAAACGGTGAAATCGCTCGAGCATGGGAACACGACCGAGAAGGAGAATCCGTCGGAGAAGGGGGATCTACCGGATGAGGAGTACGACTCGTCGGAGAAGGTGGACGACTCGCCCAAAGAAGAACGACACGTCGGAGAAGGAGTACACCAAGGTGAAGGTGAACGCCTTCGAAAAGGTGGACTCGTCGGAGGTGACAGATCTGTCTGAGAAAGCAGACAGCTCGTCGGAGAGGACAAACTTGTCGGAGAAGGCGGACACGTTGGAAAGGACGCATTCGCAAGGAGGCGTCCGCAAGGCCATGCGGCGGTTGCCAAAACCCTGATACCGAGAAAATCGCCATCTCTTGAGGAGCAGACTTCTGCTTCCGCCGGCCTTCCCCTGGCCTTCCGCCGGCTTCCGCCAGCGGAGGCGGCGTCGTCCTACCTCCGCCCCCCTCCACCGAGGAGGGGAGGACAACTCCCTCGACCCTCGAGATCCGAAGCCCTTCCTGGACAGCCTCCCCCGGCGCGCGCGGGAGGAATATCGGCATCCGACGGCGGGGGGGCCGCCGAGCTCTGCGCCGCACGCCGCTTCCAGGGCCGAGCGGCCGAAGGCGGACACGGAGCGCGGCTCCGAGGAGGACCGCGCGTAGAGTGAGCAGTTCGGAACAACATCGTGGCGCAACCGCGCACCATTGTAACACATTTCGGCACAGACGATTCGTGACATCAAACCATTGAAACGCTGCCAGCGGCTAAATCGAAACCTTCTGGGGAATAGCCCAAAGACCGAATCGCCTGCAAGACCAGAGCGCTGCGGGACCTGCAAGCAAGAGGAACCGCGCTGCTGACGCTGGTGAGGCGAAGACGGGCGCCGCATTGTAGGTGCCATGAGCCACGTGGGCGGTGCCCTGGTGAACTCTCTGCCAGAGCGAGCGTTCAAGAAGAGTGCTGAAGTGGTGTCTTACTGCGCGCGTGCGAAAGCGGAGCGGTTGCTCTGGGCGGTCACGCCGCGAAGACCGCTCGCGGCCGCAGTGGGCACAGGGTCTCGCTATGCGAATGTGCGCGTTCGTTTCCCCCAACCATCCTGTGGTGTTAGGCCCTCGTTTTGAGGAGACAGTGCCCGGCGTTCCTTCCTCCTTTCCTCATTGTCCCCCTCCTCCCTTCCCCCTCCTCCACCATGCGCCTCCCGCGCCCAGGAGAACGCTTCGGGGCCCATGGGGGCTCAACGAAAGCCCCATCGGCTGCACTCGCATGCGGTTCCCCCATCCAGGACTGCGTTCCGCGACTCCAAAAAGGTTCCCATCGAAAGCCCCAATGGCTGCACTCGCATGGGGTCCCCACTCAGGACAGCGCTACGTGGCCCCGTAGGGAGCCCCACCGAAGGCTCCAGTGGCTGCACTCGCATGCGGTTCCTCCACCCAGGACAGCGCTACGTGGCCCCGTCGGGAGCTCCACCGAAGACCCTGGTGGCTGCACTCGCGTGCGGTTCCCACACGCGTTTCGTGGCCCCTTCCGGAGCTCCGCCGAAAGCCGCAGTGGCTGCACTCGCGTGCTGTTCCCCCACTCAGACATCTGTTCCGTGGCTCTGTAGGGGTCTCCACCGAAGGCCCCAATGGCTGCACTCCCATGCGGTCCCCCCACCCAGGGCAGCGCTACGCGGCCCCATAGGGAGCTCCACCGAAGGCCCCGGTGGCTGCACTCGCATGCGGCTCCCCTTCTCAGGACAGCGTTTCGTGGCCTCATCGGGAGCTCCACCGAAGGCCCCAGTGGCTGCACTTGCATGCGGATCCCCCACCGGGACAGCGTTTCGTGGCCCCGTACGGGGTTTCTTAGTCATCCTACTGCACCTCCTCCTCCTCCTGCTCCTCCTCCCCCCCTGCTCCTCCTCCATCCTCGTTTGTGCCACCCTCCTTCTCGCGCCCTCTCCTCCCAGTGGCCGTGACGGGATTGCAGGCGACGCACATCATGTTTTCCTCGCAGCGGAAACTTGGAAAATTTGCCTGCCAATGGACCCAACCATATGCAGGTGTGGGTTACGCAATGTTGAATATCATCTTCGATGGAGCTCCCGATGGCTCCACGAAACGCTGTCCTGGGTGGGAGAACCGTACGCGAGTGCAGCCATTGGGGCCTTCGGTGGACCTCCCGATCGAGCCGAGAAACGCGGTCCTGGGCAGGGGAACCGAATGCGAGTGCATCCACTGGAGCCTTCGGTGGAGCTCCCAGCCACGAAACGCTGTCCTGGGCGGAGGAACCGCATGCGAGTGCAACCACTGGAGCCTCCAGTGGAGCTCTCTACGGGGCCACGAAACGCTGTCCGGAGTGGGGGGACCGCATGCGAGTGCAGCCACTGCTGGAGCCTTCGGTGGGGCATCCGATAGGGACACAAAGCGCTGTCCTGGGTGGGGGAACTGCATGCGCGTGCAGCCGCTGGGGCCTTCGGCGGAGTAACACGAGCGGTGAGCAGGGGGGAGCAGGAGGAGGAGGAGGATCAGGATGAGGAGAAGCTAGCTGGGGTGGAAAGTAAGGAGTGAGGAGGAGCATGAGGAGCACGATGAGATCCATGGGAACCCTATTCCCGATGAATTGGAATAGCAGGCAGGAGAAACTGAACTGGCTTGGGACTGCGCGGCATTCCCAAAAAGATATTTTGAGAGAGGAGCAGCGCGCCAACACGCAGGCGTATACTATGGAACTCTCGTTTTGAGGCTAATTGAGAAACATTGAGACGGATTGAAAGAAATTGGAATATTTTGAGCGAAATTGAAAGATAATTCTCCGTTCAAACCGTGGATTAAGAGAAATTGAAACGAGAAAGGCGGTCCAGCTGAGGACAATTCAAACCGTTTGCGGTGTCCAATGGAAGTTTTCGAAAGGGTTTGATGGCAATGCGATTTGGGAGCATGAGGAAAGCAGTAGAAGGATGGGCGGCAGGAGAAACAGACGGCGAGGACCCGATGGCATGGACCATGGCAACTGGAGCCAAAACATATTTCCCAAACTAGGGCAAGCGGTGGAGGATGCACATGCCACAGGGCCTTGTGCTCGTTAGGGGCGCGCTAGAATGCCAAGGGCTGCCTGGCAGGGTTTCTGCAAGTCTTCTCAGGGGCTGCCACCGCCCCTCTCGCCGCAGAGCGCCGCATGCATCGGGCCCCGAGGATCCTCCGTGGAAGTACATCAGGTCCACGCTCTCGCGGCAACGATTCCTCGCAAACTTGCCTGGAGATGGCCCTCACCATATGCAGTTGTGGGT